AGAATACAGTCTGTTAGATATTTGGATATGATTTATGTTTAATAGAGATGTGACATACAAGAGATTGGGGTTATGGTTAAAAGAAGAAAAAAAAAAGATGTAACAAAGTCTAGAATTGAAGTATACTTTACTGCTCTTTCAAGAATCCCAGTAACAAGAGAAATAATTTTATCTAACCCTTGGTAAAAACTAAGGAGTAAAAGAAGTTGCTAAGAGAAGGCAGACAAATGACAGAACTAGGTTCCAGAAGAGATGAACCGAGGGATGAAGACTACCAGAAAATAAGGTGTGAAAATCAAGTGGTAGAGGGAGATGTAAGGTGAAGCTGAAACTAGCTGAAATAACTGACTACAACTAGAGTATCATAATTCTGAATGTCAAAACCTTAAAAGGTTCTGACTACAACTAGAATGCAATTAGGCCAACCAGGATAGAGTTTCAAAATTAAGAAAAACGAAGAATGGTTGAAATAGTTGGTAATGAATAACCTAGAGCAATGGTTTTCAAACTGTGGTTTGTGAAACTCTGGATGCTCCACGACCTTTCATGGGATCCATAAGGTCAAAATTATTTTCAAAATAATAACAAGATATTGCCTTTTTCACTGTGCTGACATTTGCACTAATGGTACAAAAGCAATGGTGGGTAAAAGTGCTGGCAACTCCTCAGCACAAATCAAGGCAGTGGCTACTGAACTGCACTAGCATATTCACTGTATTTTTCACTGGTATTTAGGTATGCATTTGCAGTTAAAGAAAAAAGTAATGCCACTTTTACTAAGGATATCTTTGATGAAGCAGTAAAAGTTAATTTTTATTAAATCTGGCCCCTTGAGTACTATTCTGTGATGAAATAGGAAGTATGCATAAATCACTCCTGATGCTTACTGAAGTATAATGGTTATATAATAAAGGAAGACATCTGTGTAATTGAGTTATAAAGCTGAATTAGTATACTTTTCATGAAACGTTACCTTCAAGAACCAACAGTCTATGGTTATTCAGACTTCAGTACTTGGCAGACACAGTTTTTTGAAAAATAAATGAAGTCTATTACTTCAAGGCAAGCAAACAAATTTGTTACAAATGATAAAATCTGAGCTTTCAAGAGAAAATTAAATTTTGGAAAACACAAATCCACGATTGTGAACTTGACAGCATCTTAATACTTTGGTTTTTCTGATGAGACCTGAGGTGGTATTACTACAAATCATTTTTTGATATTCTATAACAAACACAAATCAATATTTGGAATACTGCATAATGCAATGAATCAATTTTTTTCAAATCACCAATGCTTGCTTTCACAAAATCCCGTGTGGAAAAAAAGATCCATTCAAAGTCTAAGAAAGATCAATAGATTTTAATGTAACAGAATATAAAAAGTTCATTACTATGGTTTCAGATTCCACATTGCAATTACCTTTTCAGAAACTGTCACCTGTCAAATTTTGGCATTTTATCAAAGAATACTAATCACAATTACCTGGAATGACTATACATTTACCTTTTCTTTTTCTCCCTACGTGTTTGTATTAAGTCAGATTTTCTACATATACTAAGAAATACATTGTAGTAAGTTGAATGCAGAATCCTGTTGTCTTCTATTAAGCTAAACATTACGGAAATTTGCAAATAAGCAAAACAAAGCCACTCACCTCACCAACTTTTTTTTTTTGAAAAAGGTTTGTTTCAAAGCTATGTTAACATGAATAGGTTTATTATGGTTATTTCAACAGTTTTAATTTTTAATATGGTCAACACTGACAGATATAACCCACATAAATAAAAGCTCTTTGGGCTTC